GTGCTGGACCTGCCGCACCAGACCCCGTCAGACCTGAACCCCAGCTGGAGGCTGGACCTGCCGCACCAGACCCCGTCAGACCTGAACCCCAGCTGGAGGCTGGACCTGCCGCACCAGACCCCGTCAGACCTGAACCCCAGCTGGAGGCTGGACCTGCCGCACCAGACCCCGTCAGACCTGAACCCCAGCTGGAGGCTGGACCTGCCGCACCAGACCCCGTCAGACCTGAACCCCAGCTGGAGGCTGGACCTGCCGCACCAGACCCCGTCAGACCTGAACCCCAGCTGGAGGCTGGACCTGCCGCACCAGACCCCGTCAGACCTGAACCCCAGCTGGAGGCTGGACCTGCCGCACCAGACCCCGTCAGACCTGAACCCCAGCTGGAGGCTGGACCTGCCGCACCAGACCCCGTCAGACCTGAACCCCAGCTGGAGGCTGGACCTGCCGCATCTAACATGGTTTGAGATCTGTCTCCACGTTGTGGCTTTCTAACAGTCTGATAATCCTGGAAAAGTTTGGAACCTCACCTGGATTTTCCCCAGGGCTCCGATGGCGACCTCCGGAGGCAGGATGACCGGTTTGGCGTACGTCCCTCCAATCTGGTTTCAATCACAAACAGAGTACCGTCAGTCAGGCCCGCAGCAGCTGCAGGTTCTGCTGCGGTTCTGTTGCTGTTGCTGGACTCACTGATCCGATGTTGGACAGGGTGAAGGTTCCTCCGCTCAGCTCCGAGGTTCCCAGCTGACCCGCGGCGCCGAGCGTCTGCAGGCGGTTCAGCTCCTGAGCGATCTGGAACACGCTGAGCAGCTGAACGTTCTTCACGTTGGGAACCAGCAGACCCTGATTGGTGTCCATCGCCAGCCCGATGTTATGAGACGCCTGCAGACAGAGACACACGGGTCCATGAGACCATCAGAGGAACCAGGCGGACCGCCGGACTCTTACTGAGCCCCACCAGGACGCAGAGCGAGCGGTCAGACGCAGGTCCCGCCCACAGAACAACTCAAGAGATCAACAGAGACCCGACGCATCGCAGTGGATTACTCTGAGGGGAGGAGCCATCTTAAAGACGTGGCGTGCTCACCTTGTACGTGATGTTCTGGCAGCCTTCGTCCACCGAGGCGTTCAGGACCGGAAAGTGGAGCAGGCTGAGGGAGGCGGCCTGAACCAATGAGAGCACAGCGTTAGCGTCGACACTAAACATGTGACAGGACACGTATCATCTCTGCGGCGGTCGCACCTTGATGAAGAAGGGCATGTAGCTCAGTCGGACCCCCCGGGCCTCGGTGGTGGACTTGAGCTCAGCTCTCAGAGACACCAGGCGGCTCAGGTCCACCTCGTCACAGTAACCGAAGTGAGGAATCTTCAGAGCCGCTGTCATCGTCTTCACCATCGCTTTGTGGAAACCTGCAGACGGGAAACACGCCAACAGACCCTCAGCAGGAGACTTCGCCCCCTGCGGGATCCTGTGTGTACAGCAGTATTAGCGTCATGCATGTCAGCTGACACAGTTCACAGCCTCAGTGTGAAAATGGTGTTGGAAGGTAAGCGTGCTTGACAAGATGTGGCCCACTTCCTGTGTCCTCACTGTTCATAATATCTGCTACTGAGCCTCAGCTTTCCACTACTGTCAACACCAAGATGTGCTCTGAGAAAACCTGCTCCAGGGACCGGATTCAGAAAACCTCTCGGCTTCATGCAGCTGCTAACAGAGAAACATTAGAACATCAGTCTATTCCCCGACCCTCACAGGCGTGCAGCGCCGTGTTTATTTACAGCGGCGTGCGACGGCGTGTTTACAGTGGCGTGTTTACAGTGGCGTGTTTACAGCGGCGTGCGGGGGCGTATTTATTTACAGCAGCCTGCGGCGGCGTGTTTACAGTGGCGTGTTTACAGCGGCGTGCGGGGGCGTATTTATTTACAGCAGCCTGCGGTGGCGTGTTTACAGTGGCGTGTTTACAGTGGCGTGTTTACAGTGGCGTGTTTACAGCGGCGTGCGGGGGCGTGTTTACAGTGGCGTGTTTACAGCGGCGTGCGGGGGCGTGTTTACAGCGGCGTGCGGGGGCGTATTTATTTACAGCAGCCTGCGGCGGCGTGTTTACAGTGGCGTGCGGGGGCGTATTTATTTACAGCAGCCTGCGGCGGCGTGTTTACAGTGGCGTGTTTACAGTGGCGTGTTTACAGTGGCGTGTTTACAGCGGCGTGTTTACAGCGGCGTGCGGGGGCGTATTTATTTACAGCAGCCTGCGGCGGCGTGTTTACAGCGGCGTGTTTACAGCGGCGTGTTTACAGCGGCGTGTTTACAGCGGCGTGTTTACAGCGGCGTGCGGGGGCGTATTTATTTACAGCAGCCTGCGGCGGCGTGTTTACAGTGGCGTGTTTACAGCGGCGTGCAGGGGCGTATTTATTTACAGCAGCCTGCGGCGGCGTGTTTACAGTGGCGTGTTTACAGTGGCGTGTTTACAGCGGCGTGCGGGGGCGTATTTATTTACAGCAGCCTGCGGCGGCGTGTTTACAGCGGCGTGTTTACAGCGGCGTGTTTACAGCGGCGTGTTTACAGCGGCGTGTTTACAGCGGCGTGCTTACAGCGGCGTGCTTACAGCGGCGTGCGGGGGCGTATTTATTTACAGCAGCCTGCGGCGGCGTGTTTACAGTGGCGTGCGGGGGCGTATTTATTTACAGCAGCCTGCGGCGGCGTGTTTACAGTGGCGTGTTTACAGCGGCGTGCGGGGGCGTATTTATTTACAGCAGCCTGCGGCGGCGTGTTTACAGCGGCGTGTTTACAGCGGCGTGTTTACAGCGGCGTGCGGGGGCGTGTTTACAGTGGCGTGTTTACAGTGGCGTGTTTACAGCGGCGTGCGGGGGCGTATTTATTTACAGCAGCCTGCGGCGGCGTGTTTACAGTGGCGTGTTTACAGCGGCGTGCGGGGGCGTATTTATTTACAGCAGCCTGCGGCGGCGTGTTTACAGCGGTGTGTTTACAGCGGCGTGTTTACAGTGGCGTGTTTACAGCGGCGTGCGGGGGCGTGTTTACAGTGGCGTGTTTACAGTGGCGTGTTTACAGTGGCGTGTTTACAGCGGCGTGCGGGGGCGTATTTATTTACAGCAGCCTGCGGCGGCGTGTTTACAGTGGCGTGCGGGGGCGTATTTATTTACAGCAGCCTGCGGCGGCGTGTTTACAGCGGCGTGTTTACAGTGGCGTGTTTACAGCGGCGTGCGGGGGCGTATTTATTTACAGCAGCCTGCGGCGGCGTGTTTACAGCGGCGTGCGGGGGCGTATTTATTTACAGCAGCCTGCGGCGGCGTGTTTACAGTGGCGTGCGGGGGCGTATTTATTTACAGCAGCCTGCGGCGGCGTGTTTACAGCGGCGTGTTTACAGTGGCGTGTTTACAGCGGCGTGCGGGGGCGTATTTATTTACAGCAGCCTGCGGCGGCGTGTTTCCAGCCAACAGCTGATGCGGTTGGCTAAGTGACGGCTCCTGAGCGGTTGTTTGAAGTTTTTCCTCCTCTCCTAACGAAGCGGAGCAGCTGATTACAGCAGGTACTAAAAAAACGCGGCTCGCAGGCTGAGTGTGTTGTCACGGCTCTAATCTTAGACCTGAGCTGTCATTGGCTGCTTCAGAACGCTCGCTGCACGCTGCACGCTGCCAAAACCTGGTCCGGACCGACGTCCCCGTATTTTACAGTGACGGGTTTATCAGACTTCCTTCCGTCATCACGCCGCCAGGTAAACAGACTCTGACCTTTGAGCGGCTCGGTGACGTCCTTCCCCGTAAAGATGGGTTTGGGCGTGGTGGGCGGGGCTTTGAGGGCCGCCGCGGTGCTCGCGGGCCTGGCAGCGGCAGCAGCAGGGGGTGGGACCGGAGGCGGAGTCTGGATCTCCTGGAACAGGGTCGGAGGTAAGATGGCTCCCGTCTGTTTGGCCAGGAAGTTCAAGATGTCCTCCTTCAGGATGCGTCCATCTTTGCCCGTCCCCACCACCTCACTGAGCTTTATCTGAGAGGTCAGAGGTCACAGCGGTCAGACCAGGTTTCACTACACAGACCGGGACACCGGATAGACCTGGGACAGACTTACGTTGTTCTCCATGGCGAGGCGTCTGACGGCGGGCGTGGCCTGGGTCTTGTGACCTTTGATCTCCTGGTGGGTGTGTTCTTCTCGAGCCATGGCCGGCGTCTCCACCACGTCCTCCTCCTGGATCAGGTCTGAACAATAACAAGGTTTTAGTCAGACCAGAACAACAGGAAACACCTTCAGGTTCCAGACTAGAATCAGCGGCGCCGGGGTCTCACCTGAGCTGGACTCAGTCTCGATGTCGACCAGCGGTTTGCCCACCAAGGCGGTGGCGTCCACGTCGTAGTAGAGTCTTTTGATGACGCCGTCGTAGCGGCTGGTGATGGTGACTGACGCCTTGTCGCTCTGGACCTCACAGATGCTGTCGAACTGAGAAACCTTATCGCCCTCCTTCACGTACCTGAGACACAAAACCAGCTCATGAAGGACAGACTGGACCACCGGACAGACAGCCAGGCGCAGCATCAGGTTATTAACTGGCTAACTGACAGGAAGTGTGTGCGGGTCGCCGCCGGCGTGCCGGCAGGCTCGGTGCAGCAGTACGTACCACTCCTTCACCGTCACCTCCATGATCCCCTCTCCGATATCTGACAGCTTGAACTGGACGACCGGCCCTCGACTCACTGCAGGAGACAACAAGGACATCGTTAAGGACCGAGGGGCCGAGGGGCCGAGGGGCCGGATGTGGGTAGAGGCTGCACTCAGGCAGAAATAAAAGTGGTAAATATATAAATATAAAAATTGACTTGAGTTAAAAAGTAAGACATCTAAACGGATTTCAGCTGGTCTCCGCAGGTAAAGGTGGATTTATCTGAGACCTCAGGAACCGGCCACGTGGACAGCAGGACAGGATTCCCAGTGATCCTGCATTAATACTGGATCTGTTAGTACTCGTCCAATAAGGAAAGACTTGTTGTCTCCTTTAATAAACCAGGACTCAGATGAGGAGACGCTGCAGTTTCTGTTAGATCCAGGTGAGTTTGACCTGAGCCAGAAACACTACAGGTTCCTCAGCACCAGGACGGTCCAGTTAAAGTCACACCTCTCCGTGGGTCCGGGTCTGGACCGACCTGGTCTGATTACAAACCTTCTTCACTGTAAACGTCTGAGAAACAACTAAAAACTGTACCGTCCGGAGGTTCTGGTTCCTGCTGGTCTGGACTTACCGACGGCGGTGTGCAGCGTCCTGCAGCTGAACATCTGGAGGTTTCTCTCCCATCTGACGGCGAGCGGCTGCAGAGTTCTGTCCGACCTGAAGTTCTGCAGCCGGAAACATCTGCGGCGGTACTGCTGACTCAGCTGAGGGGACAGAGGACAGGGATCAGAGACCGGAGACAACAGAGACCAGAGGACAGAGACCGGCTGTACAGTTCAACAGCAGACAGTACCACAGGTCCGTGCTGCGAGACGTGCTCGCAGCCTCCCCGGTCCCCCGTGGAGACAACACCACCACCACAGTGCCCGACAATAACGGGGCCCGATGGCCAGGGGCCAGTAAAAAGTAACGTAGGGAAAGCTGAACTAGCAACTCGCAGCCCAGAAACTCAACATCCAGCAGTTGCTTTGCACCGTTGTCCAATCCAGAGTTGTAGTTACGTGACGAGAGGTTGTCAAATGTCATTTCTCTGATCTCACTCATGCAGGACCTCTGGGTCGAAAGTGAAACCTGCGTCCTCTCCTGCAGCCAGCAGGGGGCGACTTAAACCTGCGTCCTCTCTAGCAGCCAGCAGGGGGCGACTTAAACCTGCGTCCTCTCTAACAGCCAGCAGGGGGCGACTTAAACCTGCGTCCTCTCGAACAGCCAGCAGGGGGCGACTTAAACCTGCGTCCTCTCTAACAGCCAGCAGGGGGCGACTTAAACCTGCGTCCTCTCCAGCAGCCAGCAGGGGGCGACTTAAACCTGCGTCCTCTCTAGCAGCCAGCAGGGGGCGACTTAAACCTGCGTCCTCTCTAGCAGCCAGCAGGGGGCGACTTAAACCTGCGTCCTCTCCAGCAGCCAGCAGGGGGCGACTTAAACCTGCATCCTCTCCAGCAGCCAGCAGGGGGCGACTTAAACCTGCGTCCTCTCCAGCAGCCAGCAGGGGGCGACTAAAACCTGCGTCCTCTCTAGCAGCCAGCAGGGGGCGACTTAAACCTGCGTCCTCTCCAGCAGCCAGCAGGGGGCGACTTAAACCTGCGTCCTCTCCAGCAGCCAGCAGGGGGCGACTTAAACCTGCGTCCTCTCCAGCAGCCAGCAGGGGGCGACTAAAACCTGCGTCCTCTCTAGCAGCCAGCAGGGGGCGAATTAAACCTGCGTCCTCTCCAGCAGCCAGCAGGGGGCGACTTAAACCTGCGTCCTCTCCAGCAGCCAGCAGGGGGCGACTTAAACCTGCGTCCTCTCCTGCAGCCAGCAGGGGGCGACTTAAACCTGCGTCCTCTCTAGCAGCCAGCAGGGGGCGACTTAAACCTGCGTCCTCTCTAGCAGCCAGCAGGGGGCGACTTAAACCTGCGTCCTCTCTAGCAGCCAGCAGGGGGCGACTTAAACCTGCGTCCTCTCCAGCAGCCAGCAGGGGGCGACTTAAACCTGCGTCCTCTCCAGCAGCCAGCAGGGGGCGACTTAAACCTGCGTTCTCTCCTGCAGCCAGCAGGGGGCGACTTAAACCTGCGTCCTCTCCTGCAGCCAGCAGGGGGCGACTTAAACCTGCGTTCTCTCCTGCAGCCAGCAGGGGGCGACTCCAGCGGCTGCAGAGAGAAACTGTTTCTACTTGTCAGCTGATTTATTCCCTCAGTAAACACTTTCCTGATGAGTTTCTGGTCTCAGTCGCTAGTTTCAAGTCTTCTTCAACACAGCGTGATGTTCATTTAGTAAATTATGGTCCCATTTAGAGGAACAGAGACCAGGAAGCAGGGGAGGCTTTAGGGCGGGGCTACAAGCTGATTGACATGTTGCTACCATAGCGACATTTTTTTTAATTAACCGGCTGTCAGCAGCAGAGAGCACGTCATGTTTGACTTTGTTTTGTTAACCTTTTTATTTTTTATCATTTTAACTGTGATCACATTTATAGTTTAGTTTCTTTATATCCAGGAAAGATTTAATAACCGATTCAACACTTTTGGAAGGAAGGGCAAGAAAAAAAATGTATTCGGGCCAGTAAGTTTCAAACCCACTGGCCCAGTTTAAAGTTTAAAGTTGAGCCCCGGACCATCATCGGCCGGATTTCAAACGACGATGAGACTTGATATCGGGAGGAAAGTGACATCTAGCAGAGTGGAGCTCAGAGAACAACCAAGGAGCTGATTTCACATAAAGACACTCCCGTCTCCATCAGTGGAGCCGAGGCGGAGCAGGTGAATCAGCATCACAGAGAACTCGACGTGGTCGTCTCACACCAGCTTTCACAGACGAGCAACAGAACAGGAAATAACTTCTAAAGCGAGAGACAGGAGCGTCGGAGGGGGACAGGGCAGGCAACAGTAGCAAACTGTCTAACCTGCAAAACATACGTACTGACATGTTTTGGTGCTGGACCTTCATCAGAAACGTGGTGTTACATAGTGAAACGCCATCTTTTGTAGGAGGTGACTTGTTTGCCTGCAAACAATATGATGAATCTCACTGGTACCTTAAATATCAACAGACTAACAGCTCAGAGAAAAACTCTGAACGATATCATGCCTCAATGATGTGAACTAACAACGACGTTTATATATTTCTAGAAAAGGGGAAAAATCTTCAGCATAAATCTTTCTTATCTAAATGCAGCAAATAACTTGTAGTGCATCCAAATGTAAACAAACACAATCGGCAGGACAGGGACCAAAGGATCCTGAAGGGCCGCAGCCTGTTCACCCTGCTGCATGCTGGGAAGAGATGTAGAAGTTTCTGCTGCCGCACCTCCAGACTGCAGAGCAGCTTCCCCCCCAAGCTGTCAGACTCTTAAACTCCACTCATCGTAGTTTATTTCTGTTACAATTTCTAGAATTGACTCTGTATAAATGTGTTCTGTCTGCTGCTGGGCAGGAGGGAGTTAAATCTACCTACCTGCCGGACTCTACCGGACTCTGCCGGACTCTACTGGCCCCTACTGGCCCCTACTGGCCCCTACTGGCCCCTGTTCCCTCCGTCAGCAGCAGTCTGGCTCCTGCAGGTCTCTGTGACCCACTAACTGGTTCACCTGCATGAAGCTAACTGAAGCTAACACACCGGTTAGCATGTTAGCAGCTGCTTTATCAGCTGTTAGCGTGTCAGCAGGCGGCTGACGCAGGGATGACGTCACGTTGCGTCAGCGGCACTTTGTCAGAAGCAGACAAACAGAAAGCTGAAAGTTAGAAGCTTTCTTTCCTCACCAGCTGTCTGAGCACCGCGAAGGAGCCTCTGGTCACCGCCGCCATCTTTTCTCTCTGCTGCCGCGCCGACGTCACAGCCGCACGCCCTCTCTGCAGCCAATCACCAGCCCGCGGCTTCTTCTTCGAGGTTTAACTGCAGCCTGCGTCATTGGTGTAGCATGACTTCCCCCTTCTGGAGTAATTGAGTCCTGCAGGGTCCGGATTGTCACATGTTGGAGGTTAGAAAGTTGTTTATAAAAATGTCCGTCCTCTCTGAGCAAGACTTCAGGTACAGTTCAGGTTCTACAGGTTCTGGACCCAGACGGCGTGGTTCTGGTCTCGGTCTGGTCCTTACCACCTCCTCCTGTTTCTCTCAGACCACATGTCCTGACGCGCTCCGTCTCTGGTTTGGAAAGTCTCATTTTGGCATCTGTGCACTCGCTCATTACCCATGATGCCCCTGTGCTCATCCAGCACAGCACCGTCTGCTCATGTTTTTACAGATTGTTGGGTCAGGAACTGCAGAACCAGAACTGTTATTGGACCTTTAAACAGTCTCAGCTGCTGTTGTGGATTTAGAATCTTTACTGGTTTAAGAACAGCGACCCCCAGTTCAGGATGGGGGGTCTGTTAGTTCTGGTTCTGTTCTGTTCTTCTTACCGTCTCTATAACTACAGAACTCATTTACTAGATCTGCACTTTTCCTTCTACTACTTGCTGTAACTCTGAATCCACCACCGGGGGTTCTAGGACCCACCCAGGTCTCCTGTCCTCCCTCCTTCCCCAGCAGACCTGCTGGTCTCCGTCCCCTCTCAGATTCACAGCTGACCCTGAGCTGGTTCCTGCCTCCTGCACCACCTGGGGACCTGGATCACGTCTAACCCTCTGAGCAGACACCCATAATCCAGTCCTGATCTGATCAGCGTTACTTACATTTATTCATTTAGCTGACGCTTTTATCACACTGGTGTCTCACAGTGGATTCGAACCCGGATCTGTCTGTGTTTTCCTTCTGCACAATACAGATAAAAGCGGGCCGTGTTTTCATGCTGAGCTCTTTGTTGAGGGAAATCTAACGGATTTAGACAACAGTTCTTCCTGTTTCAGGATGAGCCCATAAGGACATGGTTCTCCCAGTTCTGTGTGGAAGAACTGGACCGGCCCGCTCAGAGCCCTGACCTCCACCCTGTCCAACACCTTTGAGACGACCTAGACCGGTGGTTTTTCATATCAAGGACCCCTAAACTGACACAAATCAGACCACGGACCCCCCTCTGACAGGATCTTTGCTTTCAGATGTTGTGTTACAGAAAGTGAATGAAACCCATGACCCAGGTCTCCTACATTCTGTCACTGTGTTACTTACGGACGGAATTACAACAGAAAAATGTTTCCCGTGTAAGGACCCCCTGGAACCCCTTCAAGGACCCCTGGGGGTCCCCAAACCCCTATTTGAGAACCACTGCACCAGACGATCTAGCATTCTAGTTGACGTATTTGGGACACAAATAGTCCTCGTTCTCTTCTATAAAGTTCTGAAAGATTACCCCCCCCATACGCCTCACAGTGGTTAGGTCCACTGCCTACCTTTCTGGGGCGCTCAGAGACCCAGACCTGGTGAGCCCTTCAGACCGTCAGGGGAAAGTGAGTCATATGGATTCTGCTGCGGCGTCTCTCCTCTCGCACTGCTGGTTACGGGAAAAGGAAATTAAAGTTGGACTACAAGAGTAGTAAGATTCCAGGATCCTGAACACCGCCAACAGGGAGGCCATCGATATCTGTGCAGTCTGCCAGGACAAGAACCGGGCTCTGGTGGACCTGGTTCTGAGGAAGGGGTACAAAGCCCAGGAGGTGATCTACCAGGCCTTCAGCCAATTAGAGCCATTCTTACTACAGGAGCTGGAAGACCATCCAATCATTGACAAGGTTTGTAGTCCACGTGAGGTTCAAAGGGGGGCCATCAAGTCTTAAGAAGATCAGCTCCACCGGGTTTCCCCTTCAAAGTCATCAGTGTCTGTCTCATAGAACAGACGTCCTGATCCTGATGTGTGATGTCACCTGATGTGTGATGTCACCGGCGTGAGGTCCTGATCCTGATGTGTGATGTCACCTGATGTGTGATGTCACCTGATGTGTGATGTCACCAACGTGAGGTCCTGATCCTGATGTGTGATGTCACATGATGTGTGATGTCACCTGATGTGTGATGTCACCTGATGTGTGATGTCACCGGCGTGAGGTCCTGATCCTGATGTGTGATGTCACATGATGTGTGATGTCACCAACGTGAGGTCCTGATCCTGATGTGTGATGTCACATGATGTGTGATGTCACCTGATGTGTGATGTCACCTGATGTGTGATGTCACCAACGTGAGGTCCTGATCCTGATGTGTGATGTCACCAGATGTGTGATGTCACCTGATGTGTGATGTCACCAGATGTGTGATGTCACCAGATGTGTGATGTCACCTGATGTGTGATGTCACCAACGTGAGGTCCTGATCCTGATGTGTGATGTCACCAGATGTGTGATGTCACCTGATGTGTGATGTCACCAACGTGAGGTCCTGATCCTGATGTGTGATGTCACCGGCGTGAGGTTTTTTATTTCCCAGAATCCCTCTGACAGGTCTGCTCTCACAGAGACTTTAAAGGTTCTGGTCTCAGATCTTTCCAGTGGTTGGTCAGTGATCACATGACTGGAGAGTCGCCCTGCCATTGGTGGAGAGGGCGGACCTCAGACCTCCTTCTGTAGTGGACACGCAGAGATGAAGGTGAGGTCAGGTGATGAGACGGCACTTTGACACCGGTGCTACACAGGATAGTGACGGGTCGTGTTAGCTGGTAGCGTCATGTGGAAAGACATACGGCTGTAGTACTTTGCTCGGCCGGCGAGGGAATGTCGTCTCACTTGAGCCAACAATATATATATTTATCCTCACGTGGAGTTTGTGTTGTGCTGGCAGCCGGTCGTTTTTTGGCGTTAGCTGACTCGTTAGCTGCGTTGTTGTCGCTGTAGGCTGGAGAGCGCTCCTGCAGAACATCAGACCCGATTCCCTCACAGAGGAATGAGAATGGTGTCTGTTCCAAGGGACCGAGAAAGCAGGTGTGGTTCATTTTTATGAGGAAAACATATAAACACTAAAAAATTGATTTATTAGAAAGAGATTTCATTTAAAAAAAAATGACACATAGCCCCTTTAAGAATTTACAAATTAACCTGTTAACTGATTTCAATGCGTCAACACAGGTTATTGAGATTAGTGATTTTATTATTATTATATATTATTATTTATTTAACAAAAAAACCAACAACCCATAAATCATTACTTAAAAAAGACATAGCCAAGAAGTCCTTGGACCTGCTGGTAACATCCTGAATTGATGATAATAACACACATTTTTCTGGCCAACATATAAAAGCAACCAGACGTCCACAGTTCTAACATCCTTTTAAATCCCAGCCGAGCTTTGAGTCCCAGTGTGTTGTTTGATTTAAATGGATCTGAATCACCTCTTTATTGAATCACAGATTATTTCTACATGATATGTTTTAAGATGACTGACAGCAGAGACACATTCAGAACAGATGGTTGCACCACATGTTGTGTGAACCTGCTCATTAGACCTGAACGGTTTAGTTCTGAAGTCACAGCAGCTGCTGCCTGATCTGAACACAAACACGCCTCAGAGTCACGGGTTTACTTCTTCAACAGTTTTAACAGCAAACGAAAGTTTATCTTCAGTTTGTTTCCACAAAATAATGAAATAATGAGATTATTGCGATGTACTTATTGAGACACTGATTTTAAAACACATGAGAACATCAGAAACTGTTTAATCAAGATGATCAGAAAATAACTGTTGGCCTAAATATCAGATTTACTTTTGTACATTTAAATAAAGACTCTGAGAAATACAGATGATGGTTTCTCTGTGAATCCAGATTAACAAGTGTTCTGGTCTCTGTGAATCCAGTGTAACCAGTTTGAATCCAAAGTAACCAGTTTGAATCCAGTGTAACTAGTGTTCTGGTCTCTGTGAATCCAGATTAACAAGTGTTCTGGTCTCTGTGAATCCAGTGTAACCAGTTTGAATCCAAAGTAACCAGTTTGAATCCAGTGTAACTAGTGTTCTGGTCTCTGTGAATCCAGAGTGACCAGTGTTCTGGTCTCTGTGAATCCAGAGTAACCAGTTTGAATCCAATGTAACCAGTTTGAATCCAGAGTAACCAGTTTGAATCCAGATTAACAAGTGTTCTGGTCTCTGTGAATCCAGTGTAACCAGTTTGAATCCAAAGTAACCAGTTTGAATCCAGTGTAACTAGTGTTCTGGTCTCTGTGAATCCAGAGTAACCAGTGTTCTGGTCTCTGTGAATCCAGAGTAACCAGTTTGAATCCAATGTAACCAGTTTGAATCCAGAGTAACCAGTTTGAATCCAGTGTAACTAGTGTTCTGGTCTCTGTGAATCCAGAGTAACCAGTTTGAATCCAGTGTAACCAGTTTGAATCCAGAGTAACCAGAGTTCTGGTCTCTGTAAATCCCGAGTAACCAGTTTGAATCCAGAGTAACCAGTTTGAATCCAGTGTAACCAGTTTGAATCCAGAGTAACCAGTGTTCTGGTCTCTGTGAATCCAGAGTAACCAGTGTTCTGGTCTCTGTGAAACCAGAGTAACCAGTTTGAATCCAGTGTAACCAGTTTGAATCCAGTGTAACCAGTTTGAATCCAGTGTAACTAGTGTTCTGGTCTCTGTGAATCCAGAGTAACCAGTTTGAATCCAGTGTAACCAGTGTTCTGGTCTCTGTGAATCCAGAGTAACCAGTGTTCTGGTCTCTGTGAAACCAGAGTAACCAGTTTGAATCCAGAGTAACCAGTTTGAATCCAGAGTAACCAGTTTGAATCCAGTGTAACTAGTGTTCTGGTCTCTGTGAATCCAATGTAACCAGTTTGAATCCAGAGTAACCAGTTTGAATCCAGTGTAACTAGTGTTCTGGTCTCTGTGAATCCAGAGTAACCAGTGTTCTGGTCTCTGTGAAACCAGAGTAACCAGTTTGAATCCAGAGTAACCAGTTTGAATCCAGAGTAACCAGTTTGAATCCAGTGTAACTAGTGTTCTGGTCTCCGTGAATCCAGTGTAACCAGTTTGAATCCAGAGTAACTAGTGTTCTGGTCTCTGTAAATCCCGAGTAACCAGTTTGAATCCAGAGTAACCAGTTTGAATCCAGTGTAACCAGTTTGAATCCAGAGTAACTAGTGTTCTGGTCTCTGTAAATCCCGAGTAACCAGTTTGAATCCAGTGTAACTAGTGTTCTGGTCTCTGTGAATCCAGAGTAACCAGTGTTCTGGTCTCTGTGAATCCAGTGTAACCAGTTTGAATCCAGAGTAACCAGTTTGAATCCAGTGTAACCAGTTTGAATCCAGAGTAACCAGTTTGAATCCAGTGTAACTAGTGTTCTGGTCTCCGTGAATCCAGAGTAACCAGTTTGAATCCAGTGTAACTAGTGTTCTGGTCTCTGCGAATCCAGAGTAACCAGTTTGAATCCAGTGTAACCAGTTTGAATCCAGAGTAACCAGTTTGAATCCAGTGTAACTAGTGTTCTGGTCTCCGTGAATCCAGAGTAACCAGTTTGAATCGAGTGTAACCATTTTGAATCCAGTGTAACCAGTTTGAATCCAGAGTAACCAGTTTGAATCCAGTGTAACTAGTGTTCTGGTCTCCGTGAATCCAGAGTAACCAGTTTGAATCGAGTGTAACCAGTTTGAATCCAGTGTAACCAGTTTGAATCCAGAGTAACCAGTTTGAATCCAGTGTAACTAGTGTTCTGGTCTCCGTGAATCCAGAGTAACCAGTTTGAATCCAGAGTAACCAGTTTGAATCCAGTGTAACTAGTGTTCTGGTCTCCGTGAATCCAGAGTAACCAGTTTGAATAGAGTGTAACCATTTTGAATCCAGTGTAACCAGTTTGAATCCAGAGTAACCAGTTTGAATCCAGTGTAACTAGTGTTCTGGTCTCCGTGAATCCAGAGTAACCAGTTTGAATAGAGTGTAACCATTTTGAATCCAGTGTAACCAGTTTGAATCCAGAGTAACCAGTTTGAATCCAGAGTAACCAGTTTGAATCCAGTGTAACTAGTGTTCTGGTCTCCGTGAATCCAGAGTAACCAGTTTGAATCGAGTGTAACCAGTTTGAATCCAGTGTAACCAGTTTGACTGTACACAATAGAGAATCCATTACAGAAGTCGGAGGAGGTGAATACTGTTGACAGGATATTATAATACCTGTCGGGAAAGGGGGTTGTGCCAGGCGGGTTTAAGTGGCTCAACTTTCCCTACATACGGGGTCACCTGCAGGCTCAGAGAAACGATGTCATGGACTGGAGTCTCAATCTGTTCTGGTCTCTGCTGTTTGTGTCTCAGAGTCGGTGGATGTGGTCCTCCTGCTGCTCTGCACGTGGAACCCTCTCAGGTCGGTGGATTTAAAAACCTTCCAGCATCTCCTGAGTCTGAAGACCAAACTGATCCCCGTCAGCCAGCTGGAAGCAGCAGACAGAACCAGAACCATGGACCTGATGATCCAGCAGTACCAAGCTGAGGGGTCAAGGAGGTCACTGAGAAGATCCTGAGGACGATGAACTACAACCAGCTGGCCGATGACCTGCAGAACTGAACGCTCTGAAATTTAATTTAACATTTGTTCATGTAAAAACATTTTCAATATGATTAAACTGATAAAAAGAACAAGACTCTTAACTTGGTAACCCACTTATTTCCTTTTTAATTGTTCCAAAAATATGTGAAGACCAACGTGAACAGAGACATCAGAAACACAAACACCCTCAGTTTAATTTTTCTTACAAACATACAGGACAGTGAACGTCTCACAGCTGATCAATAGAAACTGACGGGTCAGTGAACACCTCACAGAAACAAACGGTGATGAGGAAGACATGGATTGGACCTGTGGAAACACCTGGTAGCAGCTGTCACAATCTCCTCCAGAGTGACACGAGGAGACACAGGTCAGCATGTGGTTAGCCTAGCTTAGCACAAATCCTGGAAGCAGGGGGTATCTGGACTGTAATGCTGGTAAGTAAGTTAAAAGTTTCTTAAGTAAAAACCCCTAAAATTCACCAACTATTGAACATTAAGGCCAGAGGTATAAAACTAAGGGATGGATTTTATGTTATTTGGAAAATTTTAAGGAGGTTTTACCCCTAAAAACTGTTGCAGATAATTTGATTCAAATTCTTAATTTTTCACTTAAGATGAAGATTCAGGGATTGGTTTTACCCCTTCAAATCAAACAGACAAAAAGATAAAATCAGAAAGATGCTGAAAAACTACCTCAGGCCTTTTGTACAAGCCGACTCGACAACTATAACGCTCTTTTTACAGACAGACTTGAGCTCATTCAAACTCTGCAGTGGAGTGTGAACCAGAAGCAGAGGAGTGAGCACCTCAGTCCACTCACAACCTCCCTGTGTACAAAACATCGTCGGCTTTAGTGGAGATTTCCAGAAAGAGCTGAAAGAAAACCTAAATGCTGCTTCCATCAGTTTTGTCCCAAAGCTATGAGCCCACGAGCCGACTCCTTTAGTTTGCATGTGGAAGTGTCCTTGAGCAAGATGCTGAACCCCAACACGTGTAGTGTAAAACGCTTTGAGTGGTCGGAAGACTAGAAAGGAGCTAAACAATTACAGACCATTAAATATCTGTTAAACAGTAAGATCCTTCTTGTTGGACAGAAATCTCGGCGTGAAATCTCACGAGAGGTCAGTTGTTGCAGGAAGACGGCTGTGGGAAGTCATCTTACTCTTTAACAAAAGGTCTGTCTCTGTGGGGATCACTGGAATATCTCTCTCGTCTTTTAGTGGACGTTGCAGCCGCTGCAGCCCGCCTGAGTCCATCTACCAGACCAACTCCAAAACCTGTGTACCTATTAATCCTGGTGGTATTCTACTTTTTGACTTTTCCCCTCTCTTTTATTGAGTTATAAATTTTTTTTGTGCTGTAACAGGTTTGCAAAGTCCAGGCCAAAGTGAGTTCCCATCTCCCACAGAAAACTCTGCTCTGAACTGAAAACAGCTCGTTTGTAGTCCAGCCGCTTCCCTTTCATCCCTGTGACATCACAGGGATGAAAGCTAAACGCGCCTCATATAACGCTCGCCAAGCGGCGACTCCGACACGCCCTCAGAAACAGCGAGCTGCAGCACACAGCTCTCCTCTCCCTTCCAAACACTAGCTACCCTCCAGGCAGTCAGTGGACAGAAAGTTGTTCCTGTGATGTAGAGACAGAGCTCAGTTAAAACTTTATGGATACAGATTAATAACTCACTGCTCTGAAACTCTCGCTCCAGTCCGTGTTGCCGAGCCGGTCGGCAACACGTACGGCTGAACCCGAGCCGTTTACCGGCTTCTCGCCGACCCGCCCTTCTCTGCTTCTGATTGGCTAGTAGCCCTTAACTAGGAACTGAGCATGTGCAACTCCCAACAAAGATCATTTAGACACAAGATGCATCACTCCATAGCTAAAACGAAGCCTTCAACACAGGCTGAAAAGAGGAGCTGCAGCAATGTGCAGTCTGACAAAAAATATAACCATGGAAACCTGTTCTGGTAGAACCTCTAAATAAGATGAGGAACCTGAAAATGAGCAGAATAACACCTCTTTAATAAAATCTGGCCCAGGTTAAAAATAGAGAAATTAAAAGTATTTGATAATAATATACTCAGATGTTTGATTTGGATAATTAATAGATGGATTTTAAATATTTTAATAGCTTATCTGTACAGTTTCAGAGTAAAACACCATAAACAGCAGATTCAGGGGATGAGCCCTCCATCAGTTTAATGGATGAATGAACAGACTGTTGTATTAAAAAGGTTTCATGGATTGTTTGCACCAATAGGCGGAGCAGAAACCAAATTGCATAAAAAGCCTTCCCTGAATTTTAAGGCCTTTTTAATCTAAATTAAGGGATGGCAACTAAAAAAGCCTTTAGACTGTGGAAATCCATACATCTTGATGCATAACAATGTAGTAATTATCCTCATAAAATACAATTAAAATAAATTTATGAACGTATTAAATGGGATTTTAAGGGGATTGATATTAAACTGTAATATGTTAAAATCAGCCGCACATTCAGGCTGTTATTAATGAGAAAGGGAATGGAATCATGATGACTGAAGATAAAAACCTTTCGATTTTTCAGTCAGGATGGCATTCGTGCTCTGTGGTCCAATCCTTTAAAAACCTTTTTAACTCCAGATATGGGTTCAACTCCCGGACTTAAATCTTTCTTGAAAGATTCATTTTAATGTTTGTCCTGTGAACTTGAATCTTTCCCATAGAACACGAAGGTTGCTTTTCTCTACATAAAGAACACACTGCTCGCTCTCACCACCGACTCGTCACATGTGGAGTCGCTTTTTAAACCCCGGGGAACCTTTTAGCGTTGTTCCTGCACCTACAGGGTTCCACGGTCAAGTTAGCAAGAATAAATATAGAACGTCGGCCTGCACTTTCAAAATAAAACACGTGGTTAACATTATGAAAGGGTTGTAGTTTGGTCAGGCTCAGGCTCCTAAACTACATGGTTAGATTTAGGAAAACTTTGCGGTTTGGATAAAATATATTTGTTTCACACAGGAAGCACTCCATACGCACACCTTAGAGTTATTAATATTAGGCCTACTCGTACTATTGAACAATGACACTAAAGAGTACCCTGGGCGTTAAAAAGTGACGCCAAGGACCGAAAGCGTCCACATGTGACGACCCGACCGAGTGGCAGCAACACTTCTGTGGATGCAAATGTGCAGAGCGGAGAACGTCTGAGTTTCCTCCTCCTCTTGTTTTGTTGGCGGTGCGTTGATGTCCTGCAGGTTTTGATCCTCTGAGGCTCCCGTCTTGCGTTTGTTGGTGAGCAGAGCTGCTGAGTTCAGCCTCACAGGAAGTCTTGTTCCTGTAACATGTCCATGTGTCAGCGTCACAGCGGCCATTTTAAACCTTTTTTACAAAAACAGAGAGTTTCACATAAACTTGTTGCAGAAACTTTATAAAACATATTAGTTACCAAATGTATAAAAATATGCTTCTGGATTCTTTAAGGACATTTGAAATTGTCTGATTCTAACGTCACAGTTTTATGAAAGAACCTCTGGTGGAGCCTCTGATGTCCCTGATGTTTGTAAAGTGACATCTAATATTAGATTTGACTTCCTGACTTCTCTAACCGTCTGCAGCCCAGAACATCCTGATCCCCATGGAAAAAGAACGCCTCAATTTACCCTTTAATTAGCAAACACTTATCTGAATCACTCAGATTAATTTAAAACTCATTTAAAGCTTCATGAGTTTCCCATTAGTTTCCACGGGTTTGAAATATTTGACAATCCACAAATGATGAGGTGTTAATATGATCCAGGGTTCTATTTAAAGCTAATTATCAGGTTTTAATCTATTTCTTTTTTTTCAAAGTTTCTTTCTTCACTTTTTTGCAATTTACGTATCAACATCAGAGATGACCTTTAATTTTTACCTTAGAAGGACCTTCATTTTTCAGTTAAGGTGTAAATTCAGGGGTTAATTTGGGGTTAATCATCATTATACGTGAATACTTTTTTGTTGGATCAGTTCGGTATAAAAGTTTAAAGTAATCCACACCAAAGTTGCACAGAGAGACGTCAAATAATAGCAGTGATAGTGGAACTTGTTTTAATATTAATTAAAAAAGAATAGTAATTAAAGTATAAAACATTTTGAGAAGTTTTTAAACTCTGGTTAAACTGCAGATATTCAAAATAAGTGTAGTGGAGCCAATCCCAGCTGACATCTGGACAGGTCGCCAGTCCATCGCAGGGCCACACATAGACAAACAACCACTCACGATCACACCTGAGGACAATTTAGTCCTCCTCTAGTCCTTTAATCAACCTAGCCTGCCAGGGGTTTGAACCCACGACCTTCTTGCTGTGAGGCGACAGTGCTAACCACCACACCACTGTGCCGCCCTCTATTATAACTAATTATTATTAATTACAACCCTGAATGTGCATCTTCTTTGACCAATCGTTTTTATTTCTGCAATCATTAAAGCCTCTGTTTTATTCCAGTAATACATGTATTGTGATGCATGTAATAACAGGTGCTCTGCTGTAGCTGCCTAACTGAGAGGTTCCTCTCAGAGGCTCCGCAGATCATGTGGAACCTAAACAGGAAGTTGGTTTTGCCGTGGAACTAATGTTTGGAACTTTCCGTGGCTGAATACTAACGTGGTCTCGCTGTCGGAGCTATTTACCTGCTGCAGAAACAAATGGAGAGTCAGCTTTGGCATCAAAGCAGTTTAAAATGGCCGCCGTGTGCAGAGGGTCATGTGACCTGCACATAGAGCATCACCTCCTCTGATTGGTCAGTCTGTTTTGGAGGGGCCGGACTTTGGACAGGACTTTGTGGGGCGGGTCTGTCATGGTGGTCACACACTTCATGTTGGCAGGGAGGGGCGTTACTGGGACAATGGTGGGCGGGTTGACGGTGGGCGTCGTGGTCATGACGGGAGGCGGGCTGTTGTCACCGTAGCGACAGGTTTGGTCAAAGTGGTCTGGATCTCGGCCCTCCTGGCCAGAGCAGTCTTCAGCTTCTCCCTCATCTGTTCGATTTGGTCCTGTAGCTCCTGCAGCTCGCCGGGCTGGGGCGGGGCCACGACGGCGGATGGCGAGGCCACGGCGGCAGGGGGCGGGGCCATTGCTGCAGGGTGAGCAGCAGCGGTATTGGGTTGGGCAGAAGAGGAAGAGGAGGATGAAGAGGGGAGGGAGAGCACCAAGCTGGCAAGCGAGGCCGCTGGTCCTCCGTTCTCACACAGTCTGCTGTTGGCCCCCGCTCTCGGCTTCACAGGCCCTGCCCCCTCACATTTGGCCCCGCCCACCTTTGCATCAGCAGTGGCAATGCGAGCAAGCAGGCGGCGGGTGTTGAGGGTCTCCAGGTTGAAGTGGACACGTTTGAAGTCCCGGGCGTCCTTTGAGGCGGCGGCTGCCGCCGCAGCAGCAGCAGCGGCGGCAGCATCCTTGCTGGTCTCGTTGTTCCATTTGGCAGAGGCGGAGGGGGCTGGTGGGGCAGGGGGGGTGGCGAGGTGCGGAGGGGGGTTCTGCAGGTTACAGCTGCACAAAAACAGAGAAACATGAAGGTCTATAGACTGTTGGAAACCTTGGAAACAGCATAACCATGTGATCCGGTCAAAAAGTCCTGAACAAACAAGTTCCTCACCTTCATCTCGACTTCACAAACTAACACATGAAGAAGAAGGAACAGGTTTCTACACCAGTGAGAAACATTTACATGATCCTGTGACATCAGACACAAGACGAACCTTTTCTCTTTTTCAGCTCGCTGCTTCTTCACATCTTCGTACGTCATGTTCAGAGCTCGGTGGATTTTCTGTCAAACACAAACAGTTGGATTTTAAACTTTGAAAGGGAACAACAAGAACATTTTCACAGCCTGTTTAAATAAAAACTAAGAACACATCTGTTGGTTCTGGTTCCAGATTTCACCAATCTCTGAGCTGGAAAAATCTGCCCGCACACAGTAAACCCTCAACACTTTCTCTGCACCTCCTTATGACCCTTCAGAACCTCCTCAACACATCCTTTGCACCTCATTAGAACCCTCCAGAACCTTCTTAACGTTTCTTCTGCACCACCTGAGAACCAACCAGAACCTCATCAACATCTCAACACTTTTTTTCTGCTCCTCCCTAGAACCCTCCAGAACCTGCTAAACACTTCCTCCGCACCTTCTTAGAACACTTTAGAACCTCAACACTTCCTCTGCACCCCATTAGAACCCTTCAGAACCTTCTCAACACTTCCTATGCTCCTCCCTAGTACCTTCCAGAACCTTCTTAACGTTTCATCTGCACCACCTGAGAACCAACCAGAACCTCATCAACATCTCAACACTTTTTTTCTGCTCCTCCCTAGAACCCTCCAGAACCTGCTCAACACTTCCTTCACACCTTCTTCGAACCCTTTAGAACCTCAACACTTCCTCTGCACCCCATTAGAACCCTCCAGAACCTTCTCAACACTTCCTATGCTCCTCCCTAGAACCTTCCAGAACCTTCTTAACGTTTCATCTGCACCACCTGAGAACCAACCAGAACCTCATCAACATCTCAACACTTTTTTCTGCTCCTCCCTAGAACCCTCTAGAACCTGCTCAACACTTCTTCTGAACCTTCTTAGAACTGTCCAGAACCTCCTCAACACTTCCTCCGCAACTTCTTAGAACCCTTTAGAACCTCAACTCTTCCTCTGCTCCTCCTTAGAACCCTCCAGAACCTGCTAAACACTTCCTCTGCACCTTCTTAGAACCCTTTAGAACCTCAACACTTCCTCTGCACCCCATTAGAACCCTCCAGACCCTTCTCAACAATTCCTCTGCTTCTCTCTAGAACCTTCCAGAACCTTCTTAACGTTTCATCTGCACCACCTGAGAACCAACCAGAACCTCATCAACACCTCAACACTTTCTCTGCTCCTCCCCAGAACCCTTCAGAACCTGCTAAACACTTCCTCTGCACCTCCTTAGAACCCTTCCAGAGCCAAGGGCGGTCCAACTGCAGACCTCCACTGTCAGGCCGGTCAGTTTTTTACGTCCCCACAGGACGTAACATGATGCATTCTCGGTTGTTTCGCTACTCTACACATCGCGACAGCGGTAGGTGACTGGTTAGCATTATCCAAAACATTGAGTAAAGTCTGAATGCATTGCTCTTGGTGTATGTTCGCCGTCAATAGCTACCGCTGTCAATACTGTACATTTAAATCACACAAATTACAGAATGCCACACGTGTGTAAGTTAGGTTAGCCTATTTGGCATTCTACATAGGTAACATTAGGCTACGCCAGCGGTGGCTAGCGTTAGCTCCTGAAGTAGCAGGATTAGCTTTTTTTTTCTTTGGATAACGTAACCTAACGTTACTCATAGACTGTATGAAGCTACTGTGTGTTCGTTTTTGTAAAGCATTTTGCAAGGGCATAGGTTTGCACATGTTGACGACACTCAGGTTAGTTATTTGTCCAATAAAAATCTGTATCGTTTAGACCGTTCGGTGTAGCTTTTCACACTTGACGTTAAACTTTGCTGCCTGTATGAATTAATCTTAGCTGACTCGAGGTTTATGTACTACACAGTGTTTCCCAACCCTTTCCTGAAGAGTGTTACCCCCTGTCCTGCATGATTTAATCTCTCCCTGCTTCCACACAGCTGATTGAAGCAGCTTCAGGATTCATAACAAGTTGATAGTTTGAATCAGCTGTTTTGGTGCAGATTTAACACACACGGTTAATTAAACAGTTATCCACATAAAGAAACGACTCCTCACCACAGCCACTGTTGGCAGATCCTAATCTGCGTGATTTAGATGTACAAATATTAATAGTGGTAGATATTTTGATGGAACATGCAGTGACTCATGCATTCAGACTTTTTTTAAATGTTTTAGATAAAGCAAATCAGTCACTGCTGCCAGCTCCTGTTCTAACTGTGTAATCTGTGTGTGTATTGAATGTAAATTCATTTTTACGGATTGTAGAGTTTGATAGTCCACATAGTCCAGCAGGGTTCTAGTTACGGTCCAGAAGGAGGTCTGAGCTCTTAATCGTGCATCTGTGGGGGTCAGTAATTCATTTACTAACAACCATTATTTTTAATCACAAATGTACATTATATTAATAAGGTAAACACACTAAAATGAACACATTTTCCAAACAAACTATGCTGCGCACCGCATGAATGTCATTACGACATGATTAATAATAATTAATATGATACCATAAAGGGCGGATTTGGGGTCTCTCCTTGAGCAGCAGTCTTTGTTGGTTTATTTCAGGCTTTTAAAACTTGAGCTTGGGCTGCTGTGTAGTGGGCTGCTGTGTGAGAGAGAAAGTGTTGACCACGTAATGAGCAATGAAGTCTCTGTCCAGGCTTCTATTATTTATTTATTAATCCCCGCCGGTAACGTCCATTAAACTACAGACCCCTACGAAGCTCAAATTGTAGTCCAGTTTCCACAGTTGTCCGTTTTTCCTATTAAATTCAGCTGATTGCAGTAAAATGCCACAGTATATTACTCTTCAAATGTAAATTATGAATGAGAAGTGTGCGTGTGTTTCTTTTCTGATGAGTGGAAGAGAGGCTAAGTTCTTAATCAACACCGATGTTTTACTGTGAATGGATGTGGCTGTATGGACGGAGTTAAGGTCATATTTTGACAGAATAAATAAATAGTGCCTGTAAAAAAGATACTGTTACTGGTTGAATGATTGAAGCGATATACAGTCGGCTTTGTTGCTACATCGGCACGTTAAGTGCTAAATAGAATAGGCTCAAATCAATATGCTATATTTAAGGAATTAGCCTGCTGGTTTCCCGTTACAATGTTAACAATATAAGTAAATATAAATCAACAACAAAAAGCCTCCCCCTATGTCTACGTGATTAAACTTTATAATTTTATGTGTTTCCTGTCAAATCGCACACTTTTATTTTGTAGTTTTTGTGTGTATATCCTGTCCTGACTGGCCTGGCGGTGGAGGTGGCCTGACAGTGGAGGTCTGCAGTTGGACCCTCTTGCCAGAGCCTGTTGTTTCCTCTGGTGTCTTTGAACCTTTGTAGTGTGGTTCTTTGTTCCATGTCTGTGTCAGTTGATGGTTCTGTGTCAGCTGTGATCCACACTGCTTTCATTTTTAAATCAAACTCAGTAGTTACAATGTGACAGAAATCTCACCTGTGAGGTGTGCAGCCAATATTTGAGGTTCTGTCGGCGGCGGATGTGAGGCAGGACGAGCTGGTAGAAACCGTGTTCACCTGCCAGAGTCAGCAAAGCTCCGCCCACTCCAACACACAACAAGACGAAGAGTCCTGAAAAGTGACTGATCCCCATCTGAAGAGTCTGAAAGAGAGAGACGGGACAGATTCCTGAACACACTGGGTCCACTTAGAAAGAAAAACGTTATCAAAGGTCAAAGTTCAGGTTCTTTAAGATACTACATTTTAAAATCTATTTCTGTCCCACCTCCAGCTGAGCTGCTAGTTTCTGTAGACTTAATGCTTCACATTACTGTCTCACTCCATTCATGATTCAAACTGAAGCTCAGAACATTAAACTCCCACCAGAAATACATTCAGTTTTTTCTCAGGTGGACTGGAACAGTGGCCAAAGTAAATGTTTATCATTTCCTGGATAAATGCCATCAGTCCCAGAATGCACCAGGAGTCTCAGTCCAGGAGCTGAAAGTCTTAGTAAATCAGAAAACTGCAGCTCACGTCTGTGTTTCAGCATTGTGTTAGTGTGTCAGTGTGTTGGGGTCTCGATAAAGTGTTTCATGTGAAGAGAAAAAGAGCAAGTCCTCAGTGTCAGTGAGTCAGAGTGACCTGCAGGGGGCAGCAGCTGAACACCTGATTATTCAGGTGGAGACAACACTACTAAACACCGACTGCACTGATTACTGACTCAACCACACATAGAACCACGTCTCCAAATCATCTGGGCCGCTGGGTAAAATGCAAACAGAAATACAATGTGATGATGTGGAAACACTGAAAGCCCAGTTTTAACTGAAAAAGAAACTTATCAAATGTTCAAACTTGTTTTTGGAAAATGATGTGTCCATTCTGAATTTGCTGCCAGCAGCACGTTTCAGGATCGTGTTTCCCACTGTGTCAGCTCTTCTTCTTCTAACAACACTGAGCATCTGGGACCCGAGGAGACCGACTGCTGTAACGTAGAAATTGGAATGTTTCCCAGGATTTCAGCTGCTCAACAGTTCGGGGGCTCCTTTCTTGCTGCTCAAAATATTTTCAAAGGGTCAGGACTGCTGGCAGGCCAGTTCAGCACCCGGACTGTGCTGTGGTAATACCTGCAGAATGTGGTCTGGCATCGTCCTGCTGAAATAAGCAAGACCGTCCCTGAAAAAGACCTCGTCTGCTTGGCAGCTATATTGCTCCACACAAATCACATTTCATTTTCCAAAAACACATTTTCAGTTTGAACATTTGAAGTGCTGTTTTCAGTTAAATCTGGGCTTTCAGTGTTCCCACATCATCACCTTTTGTTTCTGTTTACATTTTACACAGCGAGCCAACTCCTTTGGAAACGGCGTTGTATGTATCATCCAATACACATGTAGGCACACAAACTGGCAACATGCAGGTTAAAATCATTTTCATTCCAACGTCTTCCCACAAGCCAACGTTAAAGCTGACTTTTCACGTGTCTTTGCATGAACCTGATGTATTTATCAGTCAGAAGAGACTTTGTGAACTAAGTGTGTCAGCAGAGACACAGGATAGCACAGTTGCTTAGGTGAGTCCTGAACCATCCCTTAGAGTGTACTCGCACTAAGCGAACCGTACCATGCCCGAGCACGTTTAACACCCAACGTCCGGTTCGTTTGACTTGTGTGATTGCTCCGTGCCTAACTGTGTCCGGGCCCACTTGAGGAGGTTGGCCCGGACACAGTTAGGCTGGACTCCAACACGGCATCTAGTGTGATCGCTAACTGTGCCCGAGCACAGAACACTGACACAAACTCCACTGTGTCGTGCGAGAGAGAGCGCTTCTTTTTCACAGAATGACAGTCGACATTGACTACTAGCTATGTAAGGTTACAACGTGCTACCCTTGACAACCCAGCTGTGATATAACGTTAACATAGCTCTCCTTATTTGCTAGGCTCCTTACATGCTTGCTAATAACTTTCTTTAAGGTGGGTCTCCAACATTCACAGTTGTGTTGGACAGATTTGTGCAGTGGTGTTCATGAGAGAGAGAGAGAGAGAGAGAGAGACAAGGTGCTGTGCGAATATATGCACAGCAGTCAACTACGATTTTAAATAGGCCTGGTAAAAAAATCACATATCAATATATGGCAATAGGCATTGATACTGTGGCGGCTGCCACAAACAAATAAGTGTATGGGAAACACTGACTGACTGATGACTTAAACGTGCTATGGCTCGGATCGTTAGGTGCAGTATGAGCGCAGGCCAGTGGGGGAGCGGGGACAATCGTGCTCAGGGACGGTACAATGAAACCAGGCCTAGTGTGAGTACACCCTTAGTTATGCTGCTTTAGGCCTAGACTTCCGGGGGACTTGATGCACTGAGCTCCTCTCTTCTCCTCTTCCTTTCCATCTGTATACACTCCCCCCCAACCCCGTCATTATCAGAAGAGTCCACTAATGTTTCTGTAAAATCCTGCTGGATGCTGTAGAAACATTCAGACACTGAGACTGACCTCGGTGACGGCGAACACTCGGTTCCCACAGGGAACCACTTTGTACCACTTGTCGTGCAGCAGGTCCATGTATCCCTCTGATTTATATCTGCTGATGAACTCGGAGATGTTGGATGTCAGAGGAGAGTTCTGAGGCAGGCCGATACCATAACCTAAATAACAAACAACACATGATAAACAATAAACTGACCAAAACAATAAACAGTTAACAAGAAACAAGAAACACATAAACTACACAATAAACAGAAAGATACATAACCCAAACACTAAATAATCTACTTAAGACATAAAAACAGGGATTTATTCACGTTGTTTCATGCCTGACTTAAAAATGGGGATTTACTAACGTCATATCGCACCCAACTTAAAAACGGGGATTTACTGACATCATATTGCACCTGACTTAAAAACCGGGATTTACTCACATTGTATCTTCTTCTCCATCTATCTGCTACTTCAAGGTCAAATATTTCAAAGGCATCAGATCATTCTCTGTTTCTATGCAGACGACTCACAATCAATTATGTCGGTATCTATAATGTTCACAGCATTCCTGGTCTGGTTCTGCTGAGGCTGCTGGTGATGAATCAATGTTTATTGGCAACTGAAGTAGTTTTTCATGGTTTTACTCTGGAGGAACTGGAGGAGACTGATCAGTTTACCAGACTCAGAGCTCCATCACTTCCTCTCTGTGATCACCTCACTGTGTTTTAATGCAGTCCAGTTTCCCATTGAGCTGTTCTCATTTACATATGTTTAATGCTTCTGTTTTGATAATGCTATGTTGACAAGCAGTCAATATCCAGCTGCTGAACTGCAGATAGTCATCATTCTATGATTGCCACATCGTCAGACTTAATCAACATCAAAACAAGTTAATGACAGCAGCTGTGCTGTCAGCCATATCTCAAAAGGACAGATCACTGAACGTTTAAAGCAGCTTTGTCATATTCAAGTACAGACAAAAACCATATGGTAGCTTATCAATAAGCTGCAAACACATATTTATGTTCATGAAAGACGTGGACTGGGCTGGGACTGGGCCAGATCCTGTGGACATTAGGTGTAACATCAATAAACAGGCGATCATCATGGGAGTTATCTGGTCTAGTGTTCATATTCTGTATTTCTGTGTAAGTTGTAACATTTTGTAAATTTGTAAATTGTTTATAATTCATAACACAGTAACTGTAAACTACATTTCTTTCATACCCTTCACTGCCCTGTGTAGTCTGCGCCTCCTTTTCTTTTCTATGTATAAACCATTATATATTTCACTTTGTGTATCTTAATAGTGTGGTTCAGGAGGTACAGCGGTACAGTAATTGGAAGGTTCTTGTTTCGGTCTCCAGCTCCTCCAGAGAGAGTGTCGAAGAGTCCACAAATGTGAATGTTGGCATGTCTTTGAGTGGTCAGTAGACTAGAGGAGCGCAGTGTAATTCCTACTCTGCAGTCCAGTGTAAAGATTGTTGATTATAAAGTATTTTCTCTGCAGGAGGAAACAGGAGTGAATCTTTAAACGCCCAGAGAGTCAGACTGTTCTACTCAGATGATGAAACTTATTGAAACATGTTTCAGTAAAAAACTAAGAAGGAAGAACTGAGAGCAAGTAAATGCAAGAAGACAAACCCAGAAACACACAAAGACAGGTTCTGTAATCTGGAGGACCTTCATTATAACATAATGCAGACATAACACATTGCCCAACAACATTATCATCATAACTACATGATGAACCTGAATCTGAATAGTTTGGCCCAAACTCTCTCAAAATGTCCCTAATGTCTTCAACTGATCCTGTCCTCACAAAGATAGAAAAACACACACTCAATGTCTCACCTTCAATGGCGAACGGTTTCCCCACAGTTGCAAGTTTACAGTCTGCGTCAATGGAAACTTCGTAGTCAAGCAGAGCTTTGTCCATGATGAAGGCGTCGAGCTGAGGAGGATCTGTCCTTCAACACAGAGCAACACAGTTACTACAGCATCTACAGCAACTACACATAGCAACTACAGAAGACAACTGCAGCAACTACAGACAACAACTACAGCAGTTACCACAACTAGAGACAACTACAGCACCTACAGACAGCAACTAAAACAACTAAAAACAGCAACTAAAACAATTACAGACAGCAACTACAGTCAGCAACTAAAACAACTACAGACTGCAACTAAAACACCTACAGACAGCAACTTAAAGAAATACAAACAGCAACTACAAGCAGCAACTAAAACAACTACAGACAGCAACAAAACTGAAAGCAGCAACTAAAGCAACTACAAGTACCCACTGAACAACTACAGAAGGCAACTAAAACAACTACAAACAGTAACACAACAACTACAGACAGCAACTAAAACTACAGCAACATAAACAATTACAAATAGCAACTACAAGCAGCAACTAAAACAACTACAGACAACAAGTACATACAGTAACTAAAAAACTACAGAAAGAATCAAAACAACTACAGACAGCACCTACAACTACAGACAGTAACAAAAACAACTACAGAAAGCAACTACAAAAGTAAAGCACCTTAAACAATTACAAACAGCAATTATAGACAGCAACCAAACCAACTATAGACAGAAACAAAACTACAGACAGAAACTAAAACAACTACAGACAGAAACAAAACACCTGCAAGCAGTCACTAAAACAACTACAGACAGCAACAAAACAATTACAGACAGCAACTAAAACTACTGCAGACAACAACTAAAACAACTACAAACAGTAATTTAAACAAATACAGACAGCAACAAAACAACCACAGACAGTAACAAAACAACTACAGACTGCAACTAAAACAAGTACAGAAAGTACAGACCACAACTATAGACTGCAACTATAATAACTACAGAAAGTACTGACCCCAACTAAAACAACCACAGACAGCAACAAAACACCTGCAAGCAGTCACTAACACAACTACAACAACTTCACAATTACAAACAGCAACTACAGACAGCAACTTAAACAACTACAGACAGTAATTAAAACAACTACAGACAGCAACGAAACAACTACAGACAACAACTAAAACAACCACAGAAAGCAAGTAAGTACAGCAACTTAAATACTTGCAAACAGCAATTACAGACAGCAACTAAACCAACTATGGACAGAAACAAAAGTACAGACAGCAACTAAAACAACAACTAAAACAACTACAAACAGTAATTTAAACAACTACAGACAGCAACAAAACAACCACAGACAGTAACAAAACAACTACAGACTGCAACTAAAACAAGTACAGAAAGTACAGACCACAACTAACACAACTACAACAACTTAAACAATTACAAACAGCAACTATAGACATCAACTTAAAAACTACAGACAGTAACTAAAATAATTACAGACAGTAAAAAAACAACTACAGACCACAACTAAAACTACCACAGACAGAAACAAAACACCTGCAAGTAGTCACTAAAACAACTTAAACAATTACAAACAGCAACTACAGACAGTAACTAAAACAATTACAGACAGTAACAAAACAACTACAGACTGCAACTAAAACAACTATAGAAAGTACAGACCACAACTAAAACAACTACAGACAGCAACAAAACACCTGCAAGCGGCCACAAAATAAACTACAACAACTTAAACAATTACAAACAGCAACTACAGACAGCAACTAAAACAACTACAGAAAGTACAGACCACAACTAAAACAACCACAGACAGAAACAACACCTGCAAGCAGTCACTAAAACAACTTAAACAATTACAAACAGCAACTACAGACAGCAACAAAATAACTACAGACAGTAACTAAAACAATTACAGAAAGGTACAGGTGCAGAAAGCAATTAAAACAACTACAGACAGCACCTACAACTACAGACACTAAATAAAACTACAGGAAGCAACTAAAAATGTACCTTAAACAATTACAAACAGCAATTACAGACAGCAACTAAACTAACTACAGACAGAAACAAAACAACAACAGATTGCAAGTAAAACAACTACAGAAAGTACAGACCACAACTAAAACAAATACAGACAGCAACAAATACCTGCAAGCAGCAACTAAAACAACTACAGACAGTAACTAAAACAACTACAAACTGTAACAAAACAACTACAGAAAGCAACTAAAAAAGTACAGCACCTTAAACAATTACAAACAGCAATTACAGACAGCAACTAAGCCAACTACAGACAGAAACAAAACTACAGACAACAACTAAAACAACAGACAGTAACTAAAACAACTACAGACAGCAACAAAACAATTACAGACAGCAACTAAAACTACTGCAGACAACAACTAAAACAACTACAAACAGTAATTTAAACAAATACAGACAGCAACAAAACAACCACAGACAGTAACAAAACAACTACAGACTGCAACTAAAACAAGTACAGAAAGTACAGACCACAACTATAGACTGCAACTATAATAACTACAGAAAGTACTGACCAAAAACTAAAACAACCACAGACAGCAACAAAACACCTGCAAGCAGTCACTAAAACAACTACAACAACTTCACAATTACAAACAGCAACTACAGACAGCAACTTAAACAACTACAGACAGTAATTAATACAACTACAGACAGCAACGAAACAACTACAGACAACAACTAAAACAACCACAGAAAGCAAGTAAGTACAGCAACTTAAATACTTGCAAACAGCAATTACAGACAGCAACTAAACCAACTATGGACAGAAACAAAAGTACAGACAGCAACTAAAACAACAACAGACAGTAACAAAACAACTACAGACTGCAACTAAAACAAGTACAGAAAGTACAGACCACAACTAAAACAAATACAGACAGCAACAAAACACCTGCAAGCAGCAACTAAAACAACTACAGACAGTAACTAAAACAACTACAAACTGTAACAAAACAACTACAGAAAGCAACTAAAAAAGTACAGCACCTTGAACAATTACAAACAGCAATTACAGACAGCAACTAAACCAACTACAGACAGAAACAAAACTACAGACAACAACTAAAACAACAGACAGTAACTAAAACAACTACAGACTGCAACGAAAACACCTGCAAGCAGCAACTAAAACAACTACAGACACTAACTAAAACAACTACAGAAAGCAACTACAAAAGTACAGCAACTTAAACAATTACAAACAGCAATTACAGACAGCAACTAAAACAACTAGAGGCAGCAACAAAACAGCTACAGAAAGCAACTAAAACAACAGACAGCAACAAAACTATAACAGACAGTAAAAAAACAACTACAGACAGAAACAAAGCAACAGATAGCAACTTAAACAATTACAACCAGCAACTACATACATCAACTACAGAAAGCAACTAAAACAACAACAGACAGTAACAAAACAACTACATACAGCGACTAAAACAACAACAGACAGTAACTAAAACTACAGACAGTAATTAGAACAACTACAGACAGCAACAAAACAACAGCAACTAAAACAACTACAGCAACTTAAACAATTACAACCAGCAACTACAAGCAGCAACTAAAACATCTACAGATAGCAACTAAAACAACTACAGACAGTAACTAAAACAACTACAGAGCAACAAAATAACTACAGACAGTAACTAAAACAACTACAGACAGCAACAAAACAACAGACAGAAACTAAAACAACTACAGCAACTTAAACAATTACAAACAGCAACTATAGACAGTAACTAAAACACCTACAGAGCAACAAAATAACTACAGACAGCAACTAAAACAACTACAGACAGCAACTAAAACACCTTCAGAACAACAAAATAACTACAGACAGCAACTACAGACAGCAACTAAAACAACTACAGACAGCGACAAAAACATCTACAGAAAGCAACTAAAACATCTACAGATAGCAACTAAAGCAACTACATACAGCGACTAAAACAACAACAGACAGTAACTAAAACTACAGTCAGCATCTAAAACAACTACAGCAACTAAACCAATTACAAACAGCAATTACAGACAGTAACTAAAACAACTACAGACAGCAACAAAACAACTACAGACAGTAATTAGAGCAACTACAGACAGCAACAAACCAACAGCAACTAAAACAACTACAGCAACTTAAACAATTACAACCAGCAACTACAAGCAGCAACTAAAACATCTATAGATAGCAACTAAAACAACTACAGACAGTAACTAAAACAACTACAGAGCAACAAAATAACTACAGACAGCAACTAAAACAACTACAGACAGCAACAAAACAACTACAAACAGAAACTACAGACAGCAACTAAAACAACTACAGCAACTTAAACAATTACAAACAGCAACTACAGACAGTAACTGCTGTCCTTCCGGTGTGTTCTCATGTGTTCTCTCTTATCCTGGTTGGTTCTCTTACTTGAGAGTGGCGACCCCTTCAGGCGTGGTCGGCTCATTGAAGCGTCTCATGTACTCGTGCATCTCTGGGAAACTCTTCTTCATGTAATCCTCTGCGCTGCTCTCCCTCACCGTCCCAAAGCGAAAACCCCATGACGGGTGGTGCAGCTGAGACCCAGTGCAGGAGAAGAAGAATGAGAGGTGGAGTTTAACGTAGAGATGATTTAAAGACTTTATAGTGCACTACAAATACAAAATATGACAAACATTATGCCTCCAACCAGAAGTGGCCGGATGGAAAAATCCCAACATGCACAGAACTTGTTTTCATCATTTCCATTTGAAGTCACTGTTCAATTAACTGATGTGTGGACATATGTGGAGTACAGGTATACTACGCATCAGTTAGTCTTTCCTTGGTTGTTAGCAATAATCATGATAACATATACCTTATTATTATCAGTGATACAGAATGAGGACATATCTCTTATTGGTTATCAGGATTTTCTTGAAAATGACATTAACATGGGGCTATGTTCAGACAGCGTCGCAGTGATTGTCACAGCAGATCAGAGCTGAACTCTGAGTCTCTCCCCATTTAAAATAAAAAGCTAATCACACACAGATGGACATCCAATTAAACCCCCCCAGCTCCCAGCAGCCCCGGCTGTATAAACGCGTACAGACGTGTTTCACGCTTCAATTAGCTGCTGAATTAAAAGTGTAATTAGGATGAGGCAGGTGACCCAAGAACAAATTTAATCTGTAATTATTTCACAACATGAAGCAGAAATTGTCTGAATAAAGAGCCAGAGCTCAGCAGCTAAGACAGAAGTCAACACACAGTTGGGATTTTAGATTTGATCAGTATCACTAACACTGAATGATCAATTATTAGGTTATCGTGACCGGGATATCACGGTGGTCTAGAGGTTTGAGATGCTGATCATGTAACTGCAACGTACCCAGTTTGTGTCTTTGTTGCATAATATCCCTCGTCTCTCGTGCCCTGCCAGCTCTCTACTATACTTAATTCTGGTTTAGCCAATGACGTCACAGTTCTGGTGTGAGGGTGTTTCAGTTTTACTTGGTAGAGGCCTGTCCCTGCTGTTATGGTCTTGGTTTACTTCACCTGTGTGTATATTCACACCTCCTGGTGTATTTAGTTGGCTGCTCTTTTCACTCATTCATTGTTCATGACTTGTCTTACCGGTCTTTCATCTCATGTCTTGAGTCTCTGCATTAAACCTCTTGTTTCTTGCCTTTTTAGATTTATACTGTATAGATTACTCTCCTTTTCATGTTTGGTTTAACCTAGTTTTTGGCCAATCTCATCTTCACCTGTTAGTGTAATAAAACTGTCACAGCCCTAGCTGTGATTTTGTTTTGTGTTTTCTCTGCCTGTTTGTATGAATGCGTGGGCGTTTCCCAGGCTAGGAGGTGGTTGGGTGTGTTGGAGGCGGCGAAGCTGTTCCTCATCAGCTCATCCCAGAGGGGTTATCTACTGCCAGCTGCCTGTTGCCCGTCGCCAGATTATTCTTCGCCCTTACACGGTGGAGGTCTTCAGGCTACTTCATGTTCTACTGCGTCGGTGACAACATTATGGGAACGCCTCTGGGCGTGGCAGGGCTGAATTATGAATGAAACTACTCCAATTCTATTGGTGTTGCTAAAACGGTAGCGTGTGACGGCGTAACTGGAGGCGTATATGAGCACGCCGGCACACATGACACATTAGCTTTTTTCTATTCAGCAGGCACTCTGAGTATGTTTGAAAGCTCCACTATTGAAATTGAAAGTCGTCTTACCTGGAAGTTCCCGACGAAGCAGAAGAGATCATGTCTGGTAAACAGTTCCGACAGTGTGTTTTTCCTTTCCACGCTGGGGATACTCATGAGATGTGCATTTCCTGCCTAGGGATGTCGCACGCCCAGGCAGCTCTTGAGGGGGCCATTGCGAGGCCCTGTCCCTGAGGGTGCTGAGTTGTGTAAATCTTGGAATAGACCGTTCTCTGCACGGCTGACTACTTCCCGTCTGCTGGATTACAGCTATGTGACAGAAATTAAGCAGCACGGCTACGTAGCGATGCCTCGGGTTGAGGAGGCATTAGCGAGCTATCTTTCTCCCACCCTCGTGTCATCCCTCAAGACGCCGGCGCTGTCCACCAAGCCATGTCGGGCGACATCCGCTCTGGTGGGCAAAGCTTACATGGCGGTGGGTCGAGCTGGTAAAGCTAGCAAGCCTGCACACGATGGCCATCCTGCAGGACTGTGACCAAGGGAGAGGCCCCTCTGAGGAGGACTTAACGAAGCTCCGTAGAGCTACGGATTTAGCGCTTCGTGTCACCAAGGAGACGGCCTGTTCCATTGGCCGCTCCATGGCAGCATTGGTGGCTACGGAGCGCCATTTGTGGCTCAACCTCTCGGCTATCCATGAAAAGGAAAAGGCTTTCCTCCTCGATGCGCCCCTCACTACTACTGGCCTGTTTGGTGTGGCAGTGGACACTGTCGTCAACAGGTTCCGGCACATCAAAACGCAGGGAGAGGCGTTTGAGCAGTATCTCCCCCGCCGGTCTGGGTCTAGGATGGCAACGGCCGAGGAGAGACGAGCTCAGCCCTTGTCTAGTTCCTACCGTCAACCAACCTGGGACGCAAGGCGGCACTCTCGCCCACAGCCCCCCAAGACGACGGATCTGAGGACCATCATTCAGTCTCGGCGGGCCCGGGGAAAGAGGTCCTGAGGTTTCGAGTAGGGGGGCCCACTACCACCCCCCGTCTCCCTCCTGAGGTCCCCTCCCTCGTGGCGGCTCGGGCAACAGGAGCTGTTTTTCCCGCCGTCTCGGTGTTCGGGACACGCTAGCCACCAGCGAGCTCTCACCAGTCTACCCGCCTCATGGGGTTGCTGCCGGAAGACGATCGGGCTCACACACCATGGGTCACCGGCGAGTTTTCCCTGATGGTCCTCCGCTTCAGGGTGCCACCGGGGACCTACACATAACACCGGCCACCAGCCCCGTTCGGCCTAGCACTCTCCCCTCGCACGTTCACCAAGTGTATGGATGCAGCGCTGGCCCCGATGAGGCTCCAGGGCATCCGCATATTGAACTACATCGACGACTGGCTCATTCTGGCCCAGTCTCGAGAGTTAGCGGTTCGGCATTGAGATGTCGTCCTCGCCCACCTTCAGCGTTCGGGGCTGCGGCTCAACGCAAAGAAGAGCGTGCTGACGCCCGCCCAATGGACTACGTTCCTGGCGGTGGTGTGGGACTCAATGACGATGCGGGCCCACCTGTCTCCTGCACGCGTCGACCAGAGTGCAACTAGGCTGCACCATCATTGTGAAACACTTTCAGAGGGTGTTGGGTCTCATGGCAGCAGTGTCTAGTATAATACCTTCTGGCCTGCTGCACATGAGAGCCCTGCAGTGGTGGTTAAAATCCAAGGGATTCTCCCCGAGGGGAAATCCGCTCCATCTGATACGGGTTACGAGCAGGTGCCTTCGTTCCCTGTCAGTATGGAGGAAACCTTGGTTCCTGTCCCAGGGTCCCAAGTTGGGAGCGTCATGTCACCGGATAATTATTTCGACAGACGCCTCACTCACGGGGTGGGGTGCGGTCATGGACGGCCGCTTTGCGAGAGGATCCTGGCAGGAGCATCATTTCTCTGGGCACATAAATTGCCTGGAAATGTTGGCGGTTTCCAGAGCTCTGAGGAGTTTTTATGCCCGCCCTCCACGGTCGCCACCTCCTTGTCTCAGAGTGATGTATATCCCTGGGACCCAGAATCAGGGGCCAGACCCAGCTGTGGGTCTGGCCCCTGAGGGGGCGCAGTTCCTGGAGGCGGGCCTGACGGCAGAAGCGGTCGAGACACTACTCAGCTCCAGAGCCCCGTCCATGAGAAGGATGTACGGCCTGAAGTGGAATGTGTTCGCCACCTGGTGTAGAGAACGGGCGGTGGACCCAGCTACCTGCTCGGTGGTTATGGTACTGGAGTTCCTCCAGCACCGTTTCTCTGCTGGCCTTTCCCCGTCCACGCTCAAGGTGTATGTGGCTGCCATCGCAGTGTTCCACGCCCCTCTGAGGTATGGGCCTTTTGGGAGGCTTCCACTGGTCGTGCGCTTCCTCCTTGGAGCCCGGAGGATGAGATCCATGACTCGTTCCTGGGTTCCCACTTGCGCTGGCTGAGGCCCCCTTCGAACCCCTGGAGTCGGCTGAGGCCAAGCACCTGACCCTTAAGATGGCCTTTCTCCTCGCTATCATCTCTCTGAGGATGGTGGGGGATCTCCTGGCACTTTCGGTTTCTCCTCGATGGTGGGTCAGAGCCATCCTGCACCCCTGTCCGGGTTATGTCCCTAAGGTTCCGTCCAGTTTGGCAGGGTCCACGGTGCTGCAGGCATTTCATCCCCCACCTCATCTGACGGCGGAGTACGGGAGACTTCATCTGCTCTGCCCTGTCAGAGCGCTGAGTATTTACAATCTGAGGTCTTCCCGGTGGAGAAAAGCAGACCAGTTGCTGGTGTGTTTCGGGTCCCCCAATGCTGGGCTCCCCGCTTCTAAACACACGATCAGCAACTGGATCGTTCAGACTATTTCCCTGGCCTATCAGGTGCACGGGTTGCCTTCACTTATGGCCGTGAGGGCACACGCTACTCGAGGCATGGCAGCCTCTAGGGCCCTCCTCGCAGGGGCTTTGCTCCAGGATTTTTGTGAGGCAGCTGGCTGGGCCACTCCTTACACTTTTATCCGGTTTTACAGTCTGGACCTTCCTTCTGCACCCGGCACCCATGCGCTCTCCTCTTAGTCGTGCCTACAGGTTTCTGCACGCTGGGGGCAGGCGGGGGTTTCGGCGTGGCCTAGTGGGTATCTCGTTCCCATAGTGTCGTCACCGACGCAGTTCGAGTTCCCTCGAAGGGGATAGTCTCGGGTTACGTATGTAACCCTTGTTCCCAGAAAAGGGGAACGAGACACTGCGTAGGTCCGCCACACCTCACCCCGCCTGGAGTGCCTTGCTTCATTGCAAAGAGCTAATGTGTCATGTGTGCCAGCGTGCTCATATACGCCTCCAGTTACGCCGTCACACGCTACTGTTTTAGCAAAACCAATAGAATTGGAGTAGTTTCATTCATAATTCAGCCCTGTCACGCCCAGAGGCGTTCCCATAGTGTGTGTGTCTCGTTCCCCTTCTCGGGGAACAAGGGTTACATACGTAACCCGAGACGTTTTGTTTGTGATTCTAGTTGTGTTGGCCGTACTCACTTACCAGTGTTCTCTTGTCTCTTAAGATATTTTTTCAAGTTCCAACCCTCTGGGAGAGGATTCAGCTCCACCTCCTCTAAGACTGCCTGTACCCCTGCTCAAACCGCCTGGACCGAATCCTTATTTGAGTTTTTTGGAGAATAAAGACTGAACTTCCTCCTCACTACCTGAGACTTTCTCTGCACCTGGGTCCCCCTGAAACTAAACCTAACAAAAACCTCACTAACCATCCCTCTGTCGGGTACGTATCTACATCTGGGCCCAAAGCCCAGATTCCCCGTGTCTGTACCACAGCAGATTGGAACAAATATTATAAGAAAACATTTTCAGCTAACAAGTTGGGAAAAGTAGAAAATTCGAGACAAGCGGCTCGGTCAGTCGGACGTTAGAGGACAAACTGCAGGCTGTAGTTTGATCATTTTTAATAAGTCTATGTCACATGTTACTGTTAATGATGTCACTGTCTTTAGGTTACAACAGATGGTCACCAGTTACCAAAGACCAGCCAATAGCAGGTGGACAGTTCAGTACCTGCAGATATCACATGCACCTGTGAACAGACATGTGTGCTATCAAAAGAATGAATATGTTAAAAGTACTTCAGACTTTGTTTCCTCACCTTGGCGTCGTGGATCCCTGATACTTCCTCGAAGGTCTTCTCTCCTACCATGACGGCGGCGAGGTTGGCGGTGTAGCTGGACAGCACCAGCAGGCAGAAGATGGCCCACAGGTTCATCAGAAATCGACCTGTCCAGCACTTTGGTGTCTTAGAGGAGACGGTGCGTCCGAACAGGATGGCGTAGCACAGGTTTAGAGCTGATGAGTACGAGAACACCCTGATCCTGTTGCGTCCGTGAGGCGTCATGCCATATGGACTCTTCCACTCATACAGCGTGAGGAAGAGCGCCGTAATGTGCAGCGCCAGGAAGATGCCGACCCACATGGACCAGTGCAGGGGCCACATGAAGGCTCCGATGGGCGCTGCCGTGTCCTTACTGCGCACCAGGATGCCCAGGCTGGTGGAGAAGAAGGGCGAGGTGAAGTCGATCACCCGGCTCCGAGCTGAGTTAATACTGAAGGAGGTGACGGCCATGTCTGCCAGTCCATTCAGAAGATCCCCCACCAGCCCAGTCCAGCGTCCCCCCTTCCAAGCGCCATACTTCCCATCTCCCACGATATAAAGGTCAAACTCAAAGTCTAGGTCCTCAGCCAGCTTCTCCAGCAGGTCGATGCAGTATCCGTAGCAGCACTTGCTGTATTCTTCAGGCAGGAAGCTGCCGTTCCCGCCTGCCACCTCCCCAAAAAATCTCTCCAGTGTTTCTGAGCTGTTGGTGCCGGCGTCCAGGCAGTACTGTCCGGCCGGGCAGCTGCCCTCATCGTCCACATCCCGTGTGAACACGAAGGGATGCTCCACCAGAGTCACCACCCGGACCCGACTCCCTGCAACTGGCATCCCTGCCCTCCAGCGGCCCCTGGTCCTCCCGCCTGTCCCCTCTGTCCTGCGGCGAGGTTTGGGTCCCTCCCATACTCCCTGGTCTTCTACCTGTAGCTGGCCTCCCTCCCAGCTGCCCACTGTCACCCAGGTGGGCTGACCTAGTGCATCCCGCCGCAGGCTCCAGATATGGAAACGCTGTGAGGTGAGGACCTGAGACCGGTTCTGGTGGACTCGGACCGGACCCGTTAGACCAAAGAAAGATGTGTTGGACAGGAACCTGCATGACAGAAGAAAAAACAAACTTTTGAATGATCCGGCTTCATCATCATCATCTGTCATCTGGTTTTCAGATATCCAGGTTCTAAGACTTTACAACCTGGAGAACCAAACTGATATGCACGTTACTGCCCACCGCAACTGGACTCCAAATAAACTCTGAATCCTGTCTCATTTTAATATACAGGTTTAGGAGATCCGGTGGATTTCAGATTTCAGGACCTGGTTATTCTGAACTCATTTTCTTTGGATTTATGAAGTTTTATCTTTACAGAAAGTAGATAGTTTAGTCTATTAATACACAAATTAAATGTGTTTATTGCTGAAGGCAGTGTGATATTAGATATTTGGACATTAACATCAATTCAAACATATTCAGACCTAAAACAGTTTAAAGATTTTCACTGACAGATTCAACAACATTTTCAGCTCCTTAACTTCTCAGAGCAGCGAGCTGAAGAGGAACCTGACTGTCTACAAACTGACAGACACCTGATTAGTCAGAAACAAGGTTTCCTGACTAAGGACTTAAAGTAGTTTGCGGATGAATAAAAGCTGCTGTACTTAAAGCAGTGAAACATCAGCTGTGTGGAGCGATGAGGAGACTGTGACCTTCCTAACATGAACACATGACACTAACAGAAATGTCTGATGTCGTCATGTTTGAACTGCAGCTCTTTTAATGACGTGACCTTGCTGTGTCCTCTTCTTCACTTGTGGTGCATTAACAGCAGCGACTGGAGAATCAGCTGTTTGTCTCCATCAGCCAATGAGCTCATGTTCTCACAGTATACTGGAGGCTTTCAGAGGATAGTTCCTGGTGATTTCAGTGGCTTTCTGACCTTGTTTTGCTGCTATTGACAGGACCAAAGTTTCACATTAACAAAGATCAGAACCTGAGGGACAGGTTGTCATTTCATTTACTGATTAACTCTGAAAGTTTGAGTTTGTTTCTGTGCTTGAATGTCAGTTTGACGAGTCTGTGATCTGATTTCATATTATCACTCTGATGTTTCTTTTTCTCTTCACGCTCTTTCTTTTCTTCTTCTGCAGCAGATAATCCGTCCTCTGAGGTTTTTATCTTTCAGGGTTTGAATGTAATTTCATTTACTGTGAATGTGTTTGATCTCTTTCTGTCAGTAAACTGAACACAGCAGTTAAACCTTTGATCGTCCTGTTTCCTGCTGCTGTCAGACTCTCAGACACAATGACTGGCTCTGCTGCAGCTCACGGTTTTCCAAAACCCACAGTGTTTCCTGCAGCTCACAGTGTTTCCCGTAGCTCGCAATGTTTCCCGTAGCTCGCAATGTTTCCTGCAACTCGCAGTGTTTCCCACAGCTCACAGTGTTTCCTGCAGCTCGCAGTGTTTCCTGCAGCTCGCAGTGTTTCCCACAGCTCACAGTGTTTCCCGCAGCTCGCAGTGTTTCCCGCAACTTGCAGTGTTTCGTGCAGTTCGCAATGTTTTGTGCACTTCGCCGTGTTTCCTGCAGCTTGTAATGTTCGAACAAATCGCAGTGATTCCCACAGTTCGCAGTGTTTCATGCAGTTCGCTGTGTTTCCCGCAGCTTGCAATGTTCCCGCAGCACACAGTGTTTCCTGCAGTTTGCAGTGTTTCATGCAGTTCACCTTGTTTTCCGCAGCTAGCAGTGTTTCCCGTAGCTTGCAGTGTTTCCCGCAGCTAGCAGTGTTTCCCCGCAGTTGGCAATGTTTCCCGCAACTCGCAGCTTTTCCCGCAGCACGCAGTGTTTCCCGCAGCTCGCAGTGTTCCGGCAGCTCGCAGTATTCCGGCAGCTCGCAGTGTTTCCCGCAGTTTGCAGTGTTTCCCGCAGTTTGCAGTGTTTCCCGCAGCCCACAATGTTCCCGCAGCTCTCAGTGATTCCCCCAGTTCGCAGTGTTTCATGCAGTTCACTGTGTTTCCCGCAGTTCGCAGTGTTTCCCGCAGCCCACAATGTTCCCACAGCTCGCAGTGTTTCCCGCAGTTCGCAGTATTTTGTGCACTTCGCAGTGTTTCCCACATTTCGCAGTGTTTCGTGCAGTTCGTAGTGTTTCCCGTAGCTCACAATGTTCCCACAGCTCGCAGTGCTTCCCGCAGCTTGCAATGTTCCCGCAGCTCGCAGTGTTTCCCGCAGTCTGCAGTGATTCCCACAGTTCGCAGTGTTTCGTGCAGTTCGCAGTGTTTCGTGCAGTTTGCAGTGTTTCCCGCAGCCCACAATGTTCCCGCAGCTTGCAATATTCCCGCAGCTTGCAATGTTCCCACAGCTTGCAATGTTCCCGCAGCTCGCAGTGTTTCCCGCAGTCTGCAGTGATTCCCACAGTTCGCAGTGTTTCATGCAGTTCGCAGTGTTTCGTGCAGTTTGCAGTGTTTCCCGCAGCCCACAATGTTCCCGCAGCTTGCAATATTCCCGCAGCTTGCAATGTTCCCACAGCTTGCAATGTTCCCACAGCTCTCAGTGATTCCCACATTCTGCAGTGATTCCCACAGTTCGCAGTGTTTCATGCAGTTTGCCGTGTTTCATGCAGTTTGCCGTGTTTCCCGCAACTCACAGTGTTTCGTGCAGCTTGCAGTGTTTCGTGCAGTTTGCAGTGTTTCCCGCAGCCCACAATGTTCCCGCAGCTTGCAATATTCCCGCAGCTTGCAATGTTCCCGCAGCTTGCAATGTTCCCACAGCTCTCAGTGATTCCCACAGTCTGCAGTGATTCCCACAGTTCGCAGTGTTTCATGCAGTTTGCCGTGTTTCCCGCAGCTTGCAATGTTCCTGCAGCTCACAGTGTTTCCCACAGTTCGCCATGTTTCGTGCAGTTTGCAATGTTCCCGCAGCTCGCAGTGTTTCGTGCAGTTCGCAGTGTTTCCCCGCAGTTGGCAATGTTTCCCACAACTCGCAGCTTTTCCCACAGCACGCAGTGTTTCGTGTACTTCGCAGTGTTTCCCGCAGCTTGCAGTGTTTCCTGTAGCTCGCAATATTTCCCGCATATCACAGTTTTTTCCAGTAGCACGCAGTATTTCCTGCAGTTCGCAGTGTTTCATGCAGTTTGCCGTGTTTCCCGCAACTCACAGTGTTTCGTGCAGTTTGCAGTGTTTCCCCACAGTTGGAAATGTTTCCCGCAACTCGCAGCTTTTCCCGCAGCACGCAGTGTTTCTTGTACTTCGCAATGTTTCCCGCAGCTCGCAGTGTTCCGGCAGCTCGCAGTGTTTCCCGTAGCTCGCAATGTTTCCCGCATATCGCAGTGTTTCCCGCATATCGCAGTGTTTCCCACATCTCACAGTGTTTCGTGCAGTTAGCAGTGTTTCGTGCAGTTTGCAGTGTTTCCCACAGTTGCCAATGTTTCGTGCAGTTTGCAGTGTTTCCCGTAGCTCACAATGTTCCCACAGCTCGCAGTGTTTCCCACAGCTTGCAATGTTTCCTGCAGTTCGCAGTGTTTCCCGCAGCCCACAATGTTCCCACAGCTCGCAGTGTTTCCCGCAGTTCGCAGTATTTTGTGCACTTCGCAGTGTTTCCCACATTTCGCAGTGTTTCGTGCAGTTCGTAGTGTTTCCCGTAGCTCACAATGTTCCCACAGCTCGCAGTGCTTCCCGCAGCTTGCAATGTTCCCGCAGCTCGCAGTGTTTCCCGCAGTCTGCAGTGATTCCCACAGTTCGCAGTGTTTCGTGCAGTTCGCAGTGTTTCGTGCAGTTTGCAGTGTTTCCCGCAGCCCACAATGTTCCCGCAGCTTGCAATATTCCCGCAGCTTGCAATGTTCCCACAGCTTGCAATGTTCCCACAGCTCGCAGTGCTTCCCGCAGCTTGCAATGTTCCCGCAGCTCGCAGTGTTTCCCGCAGTCTGCAGTGATTCCCACAGTTCGCAGTGTTTCGTGCAGTTCGCAGTGTTTCGTGCAGTTTGCAGTGTTTCCCGCAGCCCACAATGTTCCCGCAGCTTGCAATATTCCCGCAGCTTGCAATGTTCCCACAGCTTGCAATGTTCCCACAGCTCTCAGTGATTCCCACAGTCTGCAGTGATTCCCACAGTTCGCAGTGTTTCATGCAGTTTGCCGTGTTTCATGCAGTTTGCCGTGTTTCCCGCAACTCACAGTGTTTCGTGCAGCTTGCAGTGTTTCGTGCAGTTTGCAGTGTTTCCCGCAGCCCACAATGTTCCCGCAGCTTGCAATATTCCCGCAGCTTGCAATGTTCCCACAGCTCTCAGTGATTCCCACAGTCTGCAGTGATTCCCACAGTTCGCAGTGTTTCATGCAGTTTGCCGTGTTTCCCGCAGCTTGCAATGTTCCTGCAGCTCACAGTGTTTCCCACAGTTCGCCATGTTTCGTGCAGTTTGCAATGTTCCCGCAGCTCGCAGTGTTTCCCGCAGCTTGCAGTGTTTCGTGCAGTTCGCAGTGTTTCCCCGCAGTTGGCAATGTTTCCCACAACTCGCAGCTTTTCCCACAGCACGCAGTGTTTCGTGTACTTCGCAGTGTTTCCCGCAGCTTGCAGTGTTTCCCGTAGCTCGCAATATTTCCCGCATATCACAGTTTTTTCCAGTAGCACGCAGTATTTCCTGCAGTTCGCAGTGTTTCATGCAGTTTGCCGTGTTTCCCGCAACTCACAGTGTTTCGTGCAGTTTGCAGTGTTTCCCCACAGTTGGAAATGTTTCCCGCAACTCGCAGCTTTTCCCGCAGCACGCAGTGTTTCTTGTACTTCGCAATGTTTCCCGCAGCTCGCAGTGTTCCGGCAGCTCGCAGTGTTTCCCGTAGCTCACAATGTTTCCCGCATATCGCAGTGTTTCCCGCATATCGCAGTGTTTCCCACATCTCACAGTGTTTCGTGCAGTTAGCAGTGTTTCGTGCAGTTTGCAGTGTTTCCCGCAGTCTGCAGTGATTCCCACAGTTCGCAGTGTTTCGTGCAGTTCGCAGTGTTTCGTGCAGTTAGCAGTGTTTCGTGCAGTTTGCAGTGTTTCCCGCAGTCTGCAGTGATTCCCACAGTTCGCAGTGTTTCGTGCAGTTCGCAGTGTTTCGTGCAGTTTGCAGTGTTT